AAAATCAATATGTCTTAACATTAAAAATATCAAAATGTTTAATAATAATGATATGATAAATGTAATAAATTAAACCCATATTATATCTTATACATATGATAAATGTAATAAATTAAACCCATATTATATCTTATACATTTAATAATTGTAATTAAATATATTGACATTTTTAATAAAACAACTTTTTAAATTTTCTATATATATATATATATATTTTAGTGGATGGAAATTGAAAGCATTACTCGTTGTCTTCAACTTCAACGCAGGCCTCCATCGTTTACCTTTGAAGCATTAAATCACAAAAACTCAAGTCAAAGTCACCTTCTCTCCTTTTTTCTTGGCCATCAAAGTCACCACTCTTTAAGTTTCTCCATTTCAAACCTAAAAAAACAATTTATCTTTTTCAATCCCCATGTGAATCAGTGGTGGTCACGCTGCTAATTAAGCAACAAATGAAATGCATCCAACTTTAATATTCGACCTTCCCTAACAGCAACAGATACTAACATTTAATGTAATTACTTTTTTTGTCAAAAAAAAAAAATTATTCCACCGTTCCAAAATAAACTTTGTCCAAAAAGGGCAACAAAGTTAGTATAATCATAACAAATTTAATATATTTTTTCTTGGTTTTTTTGAATTATCATCATAATATTTAATTGACCTCCCCAACTTTTACAAGATAAATATTAGATTGGAAAAACAACATTAATAATTAAAGAGTCATCTTTTATAATTTAAATTGTATTAATCTATAAAAAAAAAGACTTTTAAATTAAAAGATAATACCTAAATATAAAATTTACCCTCATTTAAAAAATATTTTAATATAATTTAATACAATTCATGTAACACTAAACAATTCTGCTAATTGAATACACAGTTGGACAAACCAACCAATAGCAAAATAACAAAAACGAGGACAACCTACTAGTATTATACTTACCGGCCTAATTTTTTTTTTGATCTTTATAGTTACCGGCCTAATTAATATGCTGATTTTGGGCATCGAGTTTTTTGGTTCGTTCCTAACATCCCATCACTCCATCCTATCAAGTCAATTCGCATTCTTAAAAGGGCTGATAAGGGATTGATCCCAGTATCCCGCCTTATGGTAATTGGCAAAGGTTTTGGCCACACCTTTTAGGTGTTAAGCTTAAGGGTATATAATTTTTTTCTTTTTTTTGTATATTATCTTTTAGAATATTAATTTAATTTAATTTAAAGAAAATGATTGATACACCTTCGATTTAATATATTTTTTTGATATATTTTTGGTTTAATAATTAAAAATATAATATAAATACAATCAATTCAATCGATTCCTATATCTTGTATATATAATTATATCATTAAACTTATCTGTCTTTAATTTCAAACTAAAAAATAGTAATTTTTTAATGAGTGTGCCACGCAATGTGTTGAATTGAAGTATGTACCAATCATTGTCCTTAATTTAATTGTTAATTAGTTGATAGTTATAAGTATTAATTGATAAATAATAAAATTATTGTTATTTATTATTTAATAAATTCAAATAAATATATAAAATAATGTTTTTAAATACCATAACTTATATTATTATGAAAATGAAATCAGAATATTTATATGGCCTTAACCACGCCTCCACCTAATTATTGATTGAATTTGTTTATTTAGGAGATTAATGAAAAGTAGTTTAATTGAACGTGAATGATCTCCCTTATCATTATTTTTTTTTTTTGAGGAAAATGATCTTCCTTATTATTATTAATTTTTTTTTTGAGGAAAATGATCTCCCTTATTTTTTGTCACTAATAAATGGTATCTACTTTTGATTAGATAAAAAAAAATAGTAGTACTACTTATAAATTGACCAGGAAAATGATTGATTATAAGGGACGATTTTAATTATACAATTTTTTATATAATTTTATATATTATTTAATAATTAATTTTCTTTATCTTATTAAAATTTATGATATTATGTTTGTCTATTTATTTAATAATATGTGTAAGTTATACAAATAAATTATCTTGAGAATTGACAAGGATAACACTTAGTGTACCAAGATTAAAGTCAATTTGCACTCATATTTAATGCTTTTAAGTCATGGACTTTATTCATTACCTATTTTCAAAAAAAAAAAAAAAGTCATGGACTAAAAAGGTCCCGTTCAATACCGAGTTACCAAACAAGTCCCCACCTTGTCCGTGCATCAAAAGTCATTGCCAACTACTCACTTGTTCAAATTTAGTAATTTTAATTTAATTATTTAATTTTTAAGATATAAAATTTAGATAAAAATTTAATATAGTATTGTATATAAAAATAATTAATAATTTTTTATCAAATAAAAATACTCAATAAGAACTAATAATATAAAAAAAATTTAATTATTATTTATATAAATTATTAAATTTTCACCTAAAATTTAAATATAAAAAAAGTTTAAAAAGTCAAACTACAACTACAAAGTTTAAACAGAGGAATTATATTTCAAAAATATCAACTACATAACAGTCTTTTACATATATATTTATATATATGGGGAATTTTGGAGAAGGGATAATTTTCAAGTCACTGTAGAAGTTGTGAACTCCCAAACGTACTTCTTAGACTTTTTGGGTGAACCAATTAGCTCATTAGGCAGGTTGATTTTGCTAGTGGTGGTGAGCCCAAAAAAGGGTGGTAAGCTTAATTAGTTGGGAAGAGGGTTTATTTTTTATTTTATTGATTAAAATATAATTTTTTTTGGAGAAACCAATGATAAAATGATAATTTTTTTATAAATTTTTAATCCTCATTTTAAAGTTATAAATGACATGTCTTTAATTTAAGCGAAATATTGAGGTATAAAAAAATTAGCTTGAGAACACCTATCGTTACATAGAATAAAACACAGGTCTTAAATCTTAATTAAGGTTTTAATCTTCGGGGACTAAAAATAAAATACTCCACATTCACATAGGTTTTTCCACTTCTTACGGCTTGGGAAAATGCCTTTGGTGTTTTGTCGTCTGGGAAGTCAGCCCTGGTTTGCTTCATCCCCACGTCGCTTTGTTGAATTTTTTAATTTTGACTTTCAATTGTTTGAAACTTGAAAATAGGCACCAATTATACGGAAGGTTTGTGATATACGCCTAATACTACTCTCTTCTTTGTACGTATAAGTAGTAACGAATTAATTAAGGATAAAAGAAAATTATTTTTGATTGTAAGAGATAATTTAATTATATTTATTATTATATAGTTAATTCGGTTAGATATTAATTCTTACAAGATTCATAGTTTTATTTATCATGTTAAATTCTAGTAGTATGAAGTGCAACGATTTTATAGCATACCTTTTCCAATATTTAAAACCCACAAATCCTCTGTTAAATACCACTTAGTCCTAGTACTACTAAAATCTAAACGTCGTTTATTTTTATTTGTAGTACACGTCAAAATCATCTAATGTTTTGTTGTTCTTGTTGTTTTTTTTTTTTTTTGTAAGGACAATGGTTAGAGATTAGTATGTTAGAGGTATTAGTGGGGGTATTGAACCCGGAACTTGAGAGTGCAAACCACATGCTACCCTTTGGAACAGCAAGTGGTCACTGAATCACGGCACGTGGAATGCCATCTAATGTTTTGTTCGGTTCAACATATTTAGTGTCTGTTTGGTGTGGTTGAAATTTTTAATAGAAGTTTTGTTAGAAAGAAATTAGTGTAGAAGTATTGTTTTTGTAAATAGAAAAAAAATAAAAATAAAATAGAAATAATGTGTTTATTTTACTAAAATCCAAATCACAAATTTCTGCAGAAATACCAATTCGATACTTTTGAAATTTGCAATGAAATTGATAAAATATTAATTTGTGAGAAATTGTAATATTTTTAAAAAATTATAGTGTTTGGAGATTTTGGAATCAAAAAAACTTCCCACTAGCTGTGTACCAAACATAGTCTTAATTATCTACAAATCTCAAACCTTGAGTTAATGGATTAATCTTCTTATTGATAGATTTTTTTTTTTTTTTGGAACTATGCATAATGTTAACAAGCTTTCAACTTTTTCGCACATGAGAAAAACATATCCAGTACTTTTCACCTTTTTGGCAGTGACAGTTGGCACAGAATAAACAAGACATATATATCATCATTGTTGGCATCTCTGGATGCCCCTCTGATTAGGCCGATCCTTAACAGGAGCCTGTGCAACATCAATTGTCATCCAAAACAGCTTAACTACCATTGTTGATCTCCATGTCTCGATCTAATGGTTAACAGTAACACCCTTGCCAAATCGAATCACCTCTTATGAGTTACGTTTTTAGGTTTCGTGAATGACATTTCTCCCTCTCCGATTGCCCTGCTTAGAAAAAAAAAAAAAGTTTAATTACCATTGTTGGAAGTAATTTGCTCCAAAGCCTAACACAAATCTGCAGATTCAGGATTCTGATAATTAATTAGGTTAATAGTTTTCAACGATTATTTTATTTTATTTTTTTATGGTTTAATACTAACAATTTTAAACAAATGTGGTGCCGAGTACCAACCCTGCAGCATACCATGTGCAAAAGCAAACAGCAGCTGCAGTTAGGATTTTAAAAAGAAATGTTTATCATCGAAAAAAGAGAGGGAGAGAAATGTTTAACATCATTTTGGTGTGAAGCTCACGTGCTACACATGCTTTAGCGCTTAATACAAAATATACATGCGTTTTTTTGAACTTACTGCCTTTACGGGTTGCTTGAGTAGAGCACAATTTTATTGAAAAAGTAATTGGAAAAATGTTGTATAAAATATATTAGAGATTATTATAAGAAAAGTAGATAAATTTTGTTAGCTGTTTTGTTAAGTTGTTGATTTTTGTGTGTTTAGTAGAAAATTGATATAAAAGATGTAAGAAAGAAAGTTGTGAAGTGGGTTTTATGCTGGGAAAGTTTGGAGAAAAACTAACCGAAAATTGTGTTTGGGAAAATTAGGACTAAAAGTGCTGTTTTTATCATCTTTTTAATGTAGTATTAATAT